TGCTGGATCCACCAATCCCCGCAGCAAATCATGTGCCAGAGTGCGATACTTGTCTTCGACAGGATTGTCCATTTCATTTTCATAATCCACATAGTTGACAAGTTGCAACGGATGAAACTGTGTTTTTGTTTCGTTATTGTCAGGTGCAGCTGCAACACTTTTTCGATAGAGAGACAAGTCCAGCGCTGACACGGCACCGGATGCGGATTGTTGCGGTACTGGATAGAAGCTCTCCTCGTGCATGACGGGTACATCAAAGACTGGAAACTCCACAATCAATTTCCATTTCGCTGCCGAGTTGTTGTCACAGGCACTGTTTGTTGTTTTGGAAGCCGAGGTAATCACAGTGTGGCAGTATTCTTTGCTGATGGCATCCAACCAGGAAGTGCTTTGCACACGGCCAAAAACTTTGCGATTATCGGCTGCTGTGGCTGCCAATGATCCTGACCGTGAGGATTCTAAACTTTCCAATTTATCTAGCATCATGGATGCCTTCCAAACAGCATCTTCTTCGTGATCTGACGACTCGGTTGGGATATTAGTAGTAGTGCTGTTGTTGCTTTGATGGGACGGATCTTCCACCATATCCAGCAGAATCAAGCCGGTGGACAATCTGCCATGTTGGGAAAAGAACTGCATTTTGGCCTGGCTGAGACGTTGTCCCGTGTGATCAATCATTTCGAACAATAGGTAGGCATCTCGCGGCAAATCTCGCCATCGCACGGGTACTTGGACGACATGATTCCAGATACAATCATGACTTGCTTCTGCCACAGAGGGTGGCTTGGGTACACCTGCTGCTGTTTCTGATTGTCGCAAAAACACATGCGCACTGGGAGTGGTAGATGAGATGGCTACCAACGGAATGCCGCCAGCACCATGGACCGTTGTTCGGATTTTCCACTCTTTTGGTTTTTGTCTGTCAAACAATCGGTTGTTCAGTGAAGCATGAGATGACCGTACCAGCAAGCTAACATGGGACGTTTGCGCCAGCGACGCATGCGGCATCCAGGTAACATTGACCCATGTATCTTCGGGGGTAGACATCATCATCGTTCTCTTCTACCGTTCTATCTGCCGAGTTTACCTCCGGTTGGGTACTAGTTTGTAGCATAGATGTGTCGTGGTCGTCGAAGCGATCCGTCGATCCGTTTCTTGTTTCATAGAAGCCATCAGAGCGGCAGAGATTGCAACTAAAGTTGACGAGGTGCATCTGTCTCTGGCCGCATGATTCGATTCATCATTCTCACGATCAGGAGGCGGCAATCATTCGGACAGAGGAAGTTGCAGATTGCGGGAGAACTGAAGGATAGATATGAAATCCCTAGCTAGAAGTATACCGATACCTTTTAATTAATAAGGGAATCTAGCTAGCTAACTAGGTAGCTAGCGGCTCAAGGCACATTAGAAAGCATCGGTGTAGTGGCGTCTTGTAGCGCATTGGCGGCACTATTTGCGGGCAGGCAATCCCAAATGGCTCTTTGAAGGGACAGAGTCAAAGCTGCATTCGTCTCGTCCAAGCGACCAAGATCACTGGATGAAGACAGACACGTATGCAGCAACGTGGGCACTCAAAGGAGAGCTCTGTGTGCGTTGTCATTGTTTTGGATACTACCTCACCAAAAATGAACGTCTACTTCTGTGCTGTGAAGGCACCTTTTTGCCTGCCTGCTGGTGTGACGGACAGATGGACCACCTACAACAACATTGCAGGTTGCTGAAGAATATGGGTGACTATGAAGGCGCTTTGGCAAATAGCAAGGAAGCTATTGCAATTCAAGAGCCGTTATTGGGCAAGAATCATCCTGATGTGGCAACAACCTACTACAACATTGCTGCTCTTTTGGATGACATGGGTGACTATGAAGGTGCCTTGACAAAGTACAAAGAGTGTCTTGCCATTTTTGAATCAGCATTGGGTGAGGATCATCTCTCAGTGGCAAGCACCCACAACAATATTGGGCTTGTACTGAAGAATATGGGTGACCATTAAGGTGCATTGTCAAAGTACAAGGAAACTCTTGCCATCCAAGAGGCAGTATTGGACAAGGATCATCCTGATGTGGCATGCAGTTACAACAATATTGGTTCAGCAGTGCAGCATATGGGTGACTATGACAGTGCTTTGTCAAATCACAAGAAAGCTCTTGCCCAATACTGACAATCTAGAGTATACTTGCCTCTAGATTGTCAGTATTGGGCAAGGATCATCATGATGTGGCAAGCAGCTACAACAATATTGGGCTTGTTCTGTGGAAGATGGGTGACTTTGAAGGTGCACTGCCGAAGTACAAGGAATGCCTGCCATTCAATTGTCAGTAGCTACTGGGCAAAGATAGTCCTGATGTTGCACCGACCTACCACCACATTGGTTCTGTATTGTTTAGGATGGGTGACTATGAAGGTGCTCTGGTGAATTTCAAGGAAGCTCTTGCCATTCAGGAAACCACCTTGGTTTTCGCCCTGGTTCCTAACCTTCATTTTACTGCAGCAATTTGTGTACAAACCTTCAAGGGAAGGTTGACTGCCGTTTCAACAAAAATGTAGGACGGGGTACATAATACTTAAAGGTAACTTCCAAGACTTAACGGTTATGCCCTTTTTAGACAGCAGTGAAAACGTCTCAGTCGTTGAATTAAAATGCTTTACCGTGGTTCGAGTAAACACAACCACAACCACCAAAACAACAACTGAACAACAACATCGGCAGCTGCTACTGGTACCGGTAGGTACTGCTACTACTACAACACCGGTAAGTGAACAACTGCTTCTATGACTGTCGCCGCGAGGGCTTGTCGCTCAATCGCCGCAAGGGCTGGTGTGGCTCTTGTGTTGTCACTCTTGTTGCTGTCTCTCTTGTGTTGTCTGTTGTCGCTCTGGTGTGTTGTCACTCTCGTGTTGTCACTCAAACGCCGCGAGGGCTGGGGTACGGCTTACCATGGTTGGCTATAAACGGCTACTTTTTCCACGGAACCTGGGCGTTAACCGTCGGTTGGTTTCCCATAGTAACATACCTTCAACTTAGGAACGCTCGAGTGACCTCGGGATTCAGTCGTTAAGTAACCTCGACCTCGGCTCGCGCCTCGGTCTCGGTTACTTAACGACCTCACCCACGGTCAACCTCTCTAACCCCGACCTTCCGGTCTTGGTTTCCTAAGTATGAAGGTCTGTTCTCTATAAGAGCCAGAACTGGTAGCAGATCATACCATTGAAATTGTCAAGTCAAAGTTGGTAGACATGCCACCATCAGGCAGCTAAATACGGTAGCCAGGTGACTTTGATTTCTACTGGTAGCTAAGTCTAGGTTGCTGTCTGGATGTTACAGTAGTACCAGTATTTTGCCAGCCCAACATCAGCTATTACGGTACTAGTAGTAGCTTGGCACAACATGTTGCTTTCTGGTGCACGCCACCCTTGTTGCGCTGTACAGGATTAGAGGGTGACAAAACCCCTACCCTAGTCTGTCACACCATAGAACGATAACTCCTACCTTAGTCATGGTATCTTTCAACTTTCGCTCAATAAAACATCACAAGATCACCCACGTACCGCCATACCAGTAGTACCTGGTACCGGTACATTGCATCGGAATCGGCAACGGCATGATCCTACCCAACAACAGTACTGGCAAGGGTATGGGCATCGACATGGGCATGAATACATCCATATCTGACACATCGGCAGCATGCTGTACATGTAGCAAGAACAAAGCCACTTCTAGCATATCAGCCAAAGCCCACTCATTTTAAAGCAGCAAATCTTCGCTCTCAATGTCATGACCATATTCTATCTTACTATTTGAGCCACAGTCTATCCTATCCTATTGTACGTTACGAAGAGAGACTTGCTCGTTGACTTGTGCATGCAGGAAAATGGGTTCCAAAAGAGTCCTCACCAAAACGCTAGGAAATACCAAGGAGGGATGAATCCACTCTCTTGTGTGTTGTCGTCTCCCGCTCCTATTGCCTTTCATTGACTCAACTCGAAGACGATCTCCTTCGTTCAGGATGAATAGATATGAGTTTTGTTGTTTGTGCTGAACTGCAGACAACCGGAGACTTACCCTTGTTTTTCAAATTGTGCCAACTTGACGGTCAGCGGCCACGAACTGACTGCCTTCCCATGGTCCATATGATTCAATGAGGGATGGTTTTCTGTTCTGCACCGGAGACAGTCAGCTTGAGCGAGGCTTGATTTTGAGGTGCGATCGATCGATCGATCGATTGGCGCTTAGTAAGAAAGATCCAACGCTTCGGTCGTGTAGCGGCGGTAGCATGCGTGGTTATTCATTGTCCACTCGCATTCACCAGCCAATCAAAGTATGATAGCAATAGGCATATCGACAATGTGGATAGGCTAAAGGAATGGCAACAACTGGAGCAGCACTGGAGCAACACCATGGTGACAGAATCATGATCAAAAATGCGGTGGGGTCAAAATAGACTCTAGCTGGGTCTGTCAAAGATACCACAGCAAAGATACCGGTACCGGTACAAGTGAAGGCACGGCAGCAACAGCAACAACTGCCACGGTGATAACAGGAGCAATCCATTGTAACAGTATGACGATGATGTCATCAATCTCAATTAGAGGCCAACTTTTCCCAGTACAGCTGGAAAAATGGCCTCCGTATGTAGACCACTACTACAAAAAAGGCTTGAAAATGCGGAGATGGGACACCTGCCACCAAGAGCTCTGCTGACCTGAAAGTAAAATCGCAGTGGTGTTGCTGTTGTATGGTATCATCTCCTTCTGTGTATGTGGTTCCTCTCTTGAATGGAAGCTGTTCATACCGGTAGACTGGTCCGATTGCCATGCTGATGCTGTGCCCATGCTGCGCAGCGCCACGCTGTTCAGAATGCCGCTGTGCTACTGTCCTGAATGAACTTTCTCGTTCCTGTTGATCTGGCGTGGATTTATCGAGTGGTTCTGATGGAGTTAGGCATCCCCTCCTCCTTCTCCGCTTCGCGGAGCTCAGCGCGCAACTTGTTGCGCTGCGCGCAACATGGATTTTTCTGGCTCAGGACGTACAAGTTTTGCAGATGACAGATTAACCCTATGTATGTGGGGTATATGGCAAGGGAGTTTTGCGGAACAGGACTGCGGAGGTGGGGAAATAGCACAGCCACAGTCGAATGGTACAGGTCGTACCTTACGGTAACACGAGGCAAGCCAGAAGTCACACAAGTGCAATAAGTGGCAGCGAGGGCAGTGTCAAGGTCTACATTGTACGCTGTACTCCAGAGTAGACTACCAGTATGCATTATAAGCTTTGTTGCTACTGGTCTATTTGGTTGACAATGCAAGACTTTTCTACTATTCTAGCTAGCTACTAGTGCTGATCTATTATATGCTCCCAGTGAGACCACCAAATCTTTGACTTTGTTAACCTACGTCGCCAAGTCCTCGAGAACTTCTGCATGCTGGAACATGGGCACCGACACTGCAATCACCAACCAAACACTAGGAAATAACAAGGAGGGAATAACCCAATAGGAGGATCCACTCTCCTCTTGCGTGTTGTCGTGTATTGGTAGCATAGCTTCTCTGGTTGATTGTTGCCTTTCAACGACTCGACGATGTTTGTTCTGGCTACTAGTGATACGGGAGCCTGTGATAGGGCTGGACTTCACTCCTCCTCGGTAGCAGCCTCTCCACTTGCGATCAATTCACCAAAAAGGACCCGACGCAATGGTAATTCACCGGTTTCAATGAGGATGGCTTTCTGTTCTGCACCTGAGACAATCCTGTTGACTGAGGCTTGGCACCTACTGAACAAAACCGGTGATTTACCCTTGTTTTTCAAATTCCAGCAACTTGACAGTCATGGGCCAAGAACTGACTGCCCTTCCACGGTCCATAGAATTCAAAGAGTGATGGTTTCAAAGAGTGATGGTTTCCCAACCTGCACCGGAGACCATTGGCTTGATACACACTAGTGGTAGAGGTGCGATTGTGCGACAAATTGAAGATTGAGATTCGCAATTGAACGATTGAATCATTCAAACAGATCGACTCTCGAGAATCAAAGAACAACTCACCTGTTGGCGACCAAGATCTGACTGCCTTCCTGTGGTCCATAGAAATTCAATGAGGGATGGCTTTCGAATCTACACCTTCAAATAACACTCTTGCCTTGTACTGTACCAGTCGTTCCGCCTTCAAAATAGACCTGACTTACCCGAGTATTCTTGTCATTCAACCATGGATTTCACCGGCGATCTTGGTGGAGGCGGGTTACCTCGCACCGTACCGGTACCGGTACCAGTACTAGCCGTTCAGATCGATCCTCCTAATCTCCACCACTCTTGTCGGCCAAGCTTGAATAAAAATTCCTGTTTACAATCGCAATTCAATGTAGTACTGTAGTAGTAGCGATCGGCCGCTCCTCCACCATTGTCACGGTTTGTGTGGTTGGTTTTGAGCCATCGATTTCAAATAAATGAGCAATGGGAGCTACCGGCATCAGTTCTGCACTGGAGAGGCTTTCCATCTCCGTCTTTTGGCTTGGATCTTTGCTTTGGGTGGTGCCAAAGTTGATCAAGAGACTTATGGCTATGCATTTTCCATTCTGATCGGAAAAGCAGAGTTGCCCTGTAGACCAGTACTGCAAAAGAAGTGGTTTAGTTTGGCACATTTGGCAGATCCAGGGTGAGCTCCAGCAACCCGTACATAATACCCAACCAACAACAATCAAGGTCCAAGAGATTACTGTAAAAAGGCAAACCATTTAGTTGCTTGGGATGCTATTGTAAAGGCGTGTAGCTTGGCATTAGTTTCACGTTGCTGCTTCAGGTGAAGTTGCTTGTACTAGACTATTAATAGCTAGTACCTCTTCCTCCTCTCCTCCTCCTCCTCTTCCTTCCCCCTCCTCCTCTTTCTGGAGCTCGTGCAAAACTTGGCGCTGCGCGCCAAACTTGGCATTTTCTGGAGTGTCCCGTCCCGTACCGGTACCGTCACACCAACATGAAATTCTGAGTCTTTACAGCTTTGCAGGCCATAAACGAATGAAGCAAACTCACTTGAAGGCTCCAAAGAAACATTGACCATGGCGGCGACGGCAATCACTACTCCTGCTGAACCTCGCAGCAGGACGATTCTTCTGCTGGTTCATCAAGTGGAAGATGTGGCACCAGTGGCGGCTCTGTGTGCCTTGCTGGGCGATCTGTATCGTCATCGAACGCTGTTTGCCCACGAACCCATGCCAGTGCTACGAGTTGCCGTGACTCCCTCGTTGCAACATCATTTTGCCTGCAATGGCCGAATTGTCTCTTGGAGAGCTCATGAGTCTGTTTCCAATGGCAGTAGTTTTCGATGGGCTACCCACGTGGGTGCTCCCGATTCTGTGTGGCCTCTCCACGATGCTCCAACAGCAAATGACACCAGTTGGTTGGAAGATGCTTTCTGGGGTAGGTCCAACAGGAAGAATCCACTGTCGCACGACGACGGAGGCATGGCCGATATGATTTTGTTGGGATGTTCTTCTTCCTTGACATTGAATGTGTGGCAATAAATTGCCAGCCTGGTAGACAAGTTGCCACAAACCAACAATCATTACAGCAGAGTACCACCTCTTGTGATTGCTTCTTTGGGGAATCTACGAGGGCTGGATTGGCTTTCTCGAATGGCTTTTGCCACACCACCAAGTCAGACAGCCGTTCGATTGAAAGACCTGTCAATACAGCCATTCCAAGAAATAAGACAAAACCAATCCGCGAGAAATCTGGGGATACGCCCACTGGTTTTGATTGGTTTGCCGTCTCCGCTTTGGTTTTGTCGACGAATACCGAATACTCGCAGTGTCAATACCAGATCCATTCGAACCAGCTTTTCATACGAGGATTCCTTGGTACTCATGACAGGCAATCGAGACTCGTCGTCTACGCAACCACAACAGATTTGCCTCGTTTCATCTACTACACCCCTTTCCGAACAACAAGAGGCACATGTCCAACGCTTGCTTTGTCAAACAATCTTTGCTCCAAAAACAAACCTGGAACTGGATCTCTCTATTCCCCCAATCTCACCGAATTCACCACCAGATGCCACACCCTACATTTATGCTTTGCTAAGATCACTCCTGCAAGATCCATACCTGATTCAGTTCCCTTGCACCTTGGCCATTCTACATCCAACAAATCCCAAACATCATCAACAACAACAAACAGAATGTCCTTTGAAACCGCATCCAACCCTGGGGTGCATAATATTGACTGTACTCGAGGATCTTTTTCTGGTGCTACATCAGCTCCTTGTCCGCACACGTTCGGAGCGAGGCGACAACAACAATCATCATCATCTGTTTGATCAACATGTATTGCAGCCTCTGCGGGTGTCTCTGCTCGCACAACTACTAGGGAATGGAGGCTCCTTATTGGAGGATCTCACCATGAACCGTACGGTGGATGTCCTGCCAAGGTTGCATCATCGTCGTCAAACCAATGCAACCGACGACGAGACAATCTGGCGACAACGATGGATCTTGGAACCCATACTGACTCGGGCCGCTTTGTCGGAATGGCAGTTCATTACGGAGCGGTCGCCATATCCCAGTACAGTCGCAACCACAACACACGAGTTGAGACACCAAATCCGCAAGGATACCATCCAGTATGGCTTGGGATTTGTATTGCAGCTGGGACGGATGCTTCAGATGGAACCGAAACAATTGGCCCTACTTGAGTGGGTCGTCGAAAGTTGTTGCTGGACTGATGATTCTGGAGCAACATCAAAGCAGGAAGAACCAATCTCGGCAATTCCCCTAGAGGATTGGGGGATCAAAACGATGCAAGATTTGAATGATTTTCTGGCTCGCTCTGCTGCGTTTGGGAGGCACAGTGTGTCAGTTCCTGCGCCGCTGTCTCGACTGTAAAGAGAGGAAATCAAGCATCGGGATTCCAGCTCCTGGCCTTGAAGGATTCAATAGTTCAAGCTGGTCCAAACTGGACTTGTGGAATCGAATCCAATGGACATCGGGAGAGCCAACGTGGAACTTGAGCATGCTTGTCTGTGAGAAAACTCGCGAGTTGCATTGCTCATGATTGCACCAATGATCAGCAATTGATTGCTACAGGATTGGTTGCAAGCTAGAGTTCTTCTTTTACGTGCGACTCAGTTTGGACCGTCCTCAGTGGCGAAGCGTCTGACAGCACCCAACGGTGGTACCTCGGCACTCTTTGCTTGGCTCTCGTTTTTGCCATCTACAGCGCTGCCGACGATACCTACCCTGGAGACGCAAATGCCAACAACCACAATCCTCTGAAGAACTGACGGGAAGCCCAACCTACCTGCTCTACGGGAGCTGCAGGAGGCATACACGAGCTGGCGATTCGTTCGAGTCGTCCATCGGGGCCACGTTGGTGCCCTGAGTGTGGTTGTCACGGCAGACCACACTTCCCGGCCCGGCCATGTCGTCGTATGGGCACGGGTTGCTCCAACCACCAGTAACGATGCTCTCCACTGGCTCAAAATTGCCCGCAGTCAGCCATATCGTTGCCCTCTCACCGCCTGGCAGGGCGTTGCTGCAGGTCGTCAAGTCGCCCTTGCAGTGTTTACATGGAGGCGTTTGGTATAATTGCCCCAAGCCAGAGTGTGCGTGTGGCATCAAGAGCGGTATTCAAGGAGCCAGTGTGGCAAAGATACTGATGTAGAACCAACTTGTCCTGGTCATGTTGGTACGTGGCACCGTCATGGTCACGGCGCAACATGTTAGAAGTACCGGTACATATTTTCCAAGTGCACAGATGACTGTTGCTGCCATGGCTGATGGGTTGTCGTTTTGGAAGTTGCGAGAAGAGCACACCCTCTTTCCCCCAAGGTGAAAGCATCATCAAATCGCCTGCACTGTCGTCTCTAAGCCTGCATACAATACATCGCACCCGCACGCCCCCCGTAGTAACTCCAAGGAAGGCGTCTCTGTGAGGCTGTGAATGTGAGTCAAGGTTTCTACCGGGAGCTATACAGGAACTACGCAATAGTTGTGGAATTGTCATAGTCTCACCGCGCGTTGAAACTTATCGCTATCCTACTTTCCTTTTGTAATTGCGTTTCTCGTCTAGGTTGCTTCTGTATGGGCTGCGCGTATACTTGAAGCGTCTAAGACATGGTACCAGCACTGGAAGGGGGGATGAGAGCCTGGGAACGACGCTGCTTTCGGAGCTGGTACGACTTTGCAACTTTCTGGGCTCCCCCCAACAACGCTGCAGCTGCCAAGCAAACACCAATTACCTTGAAGAACTCTGCGACACCTTTTCCAATGGCCGCCGTTAAGCAACTGGCGCGATTCTTCTTCTTGTAGTCAAAGAATTCTCCCGACCATTTTTTCTTGTAATTCTGGGCCTGGCAATAGTCTCCATCTAAGGCTTGAATGGTTTGACAGACTGTCTGGTCATTCTGGGAATCTTCGTAGGTTAGAATGTACGAATAGAAGGAGTAGCCCCCCTGCGTCTGTTCGAGCTCTTGAAACGTAACGGGGTCGCCAGCTTCATAGTCTTGAATGCCGCAAGTATCCAGTGGATAGTACGACCCCTCCTCAAAGAGAGATTCGCACAGGGGACTGACTTCATCGTTTCCACCATCTCCTTGGTACTCGTAGCCGGATCCGCTGGGTGGATAGTAGACTGGGACAGCGCAGCTGATGCTCTCTTCAAAGGGATACACAATGGGCCAGTATGCCTTGTAGATGATCTCGTTGGTGCCCGTCTCTTCCGCAATGGACAGAAAGGATTTGAGGTTTGTGTAGACGCTGCACTCGTTATCCAAGAAGATCGCGATCTCGGCGCCACTTCCATCTGCGTTGCACATAAATCCCGCGTAGAGGTCATAGCCCGACCACTTTTGACCCATGTACATGCATCCTGCAATAGCGGTAGCCCACTCTTCGATTTCTTCAAGGGTGTAATCGCCGTCTTCTTGCTGCTGCGCGTCGTTGTCGTCGTAGCAACCATGCTCTTCGCAGTTTCCACAGTCGAGGTAGACAATTTCATTGGCTCGACGGCGATCGCCGCCGTCTTCGTCTCCCGCCCCCTCGTCTTGATTACCGCCTTGATCTCCATCACCATTTCCATCTTGATCTCCATCTTTGTCGCCGTTTGCGTCTTGGTCTCCATTTTCGTCGCCGTTTGCGTCTTCGTCACCGTCTTGATTTCCCCCCGAGTCGTCGCCACAATACGCATTGCATGCGTAGCAAAAGTCTTCGTTGTCTCCTCCTGCAGAAGCGGGAATCAAGGCGTTCATGTAGTTGGAAAGGGACGCCATGTACGATTTGCAGTTTCCATTCCTGCAGAGATTGAAGATGGCGTAGGACTTCTGCTTCACGAGCTGACCGTTTTCGGTGAATTCGTAGGTGTCTTGGCCAAGCATGATGTCTTCGTCAGCTTCTATTTTGAGAGAGACGCAAGTATCGAACTGAATCGAGTATTCACCAGAGATTTGGAAGCTTCCTTGATACTCCAGCGAACGATCGAGTGGAAGAGCTTCGCGGACCAACTTTTGCGAATCCGACAACGGCGGTGCTTTGGCGCCGCCAACGACGACGAAAAGAAGGGAAATGGCGATGATGAGATTAGCGATCTTCATGTTGGACAGGAACTTGTGTATCATGTGGGACGAGAGCAAGATCGCAGCTATACTCTACTCGTTTGCTTGGTGAAGTTGAAGGCTGCTTTGGTGTCGGTGATTTGTGTTTGCCCTTGTGCAAGCTTTTACGGCTGTCTGGGCTCGTCCCATACCCGAGCTTGGTTCACGGGACAGTTGCAGGTCACGAATTAGTCGTCAATACCGTTGCGTTCAGCACAAGACCTCTCTTTACCTCGGCAGTCTATCTGCCTGAGCCCTCACCCCCTTTTTTGGTATTTCCTGCTTCCTGTTTTCCTGCTTCCTGTTTCCTGTTCCGGTGAAGCCAAAATATAGGGATAGAGATAGGCACAAGCCAACTCTACAATTTGGTCTCCCAGACCACGCTCCTTTTGGTTTCCCCCTCAGTTGCACTCTGAAATCGATTGGCTCGCGTTTACTGTGTAAATTAGTGTACCCGCACTTCAGTTGCAGAATCAACGGTCATGTGTATCGTTAAGTAACAAGTTCCCTTTCGAAATATTTAGATTGATTCGTGGAAAAAGAACCGTTGAAGTTACTAAGGTTAAAGTTAAACAGTACCTCTCACCATTATTGAACGCACAGCACTGACTTCTCTCCCTCATTGAATTCCTATGGTAAACAGGAGAGAAATACCAGCTCGGCCGACAAGAGTACTCCTCGTGGTTGAATCGATCGATCGATCGAACGATTGGTACGGTATGAGGTAAGCCTATTATCAAGAGGGTTAATTGAAGGTACAGCGCTGACTTCTCTCCCTCATTGTATTCCTATGGTAAACAGGAGAGAATTCCAAGCTCGGCCGTCAACAGGTGAGTTGTTTTAATTATTCGAATCGAGTCGGTCGCACCTCTATTATCTCTACTATCAAGCCTCACTCAAGCCGGCTGTCTCTGGTGCAGATTCGAAAGCCATCCCTCATTGAATCCTATGGACCATGGGATGGCAGTCAGTTCTCAGCCATGGACGGCCAAGTTGGAGAACAAGGGTAAGTCGCCGGTTTTCTTCAGTGTCAGAATAGAAGAGAAAACCATAGCTATTTCTTACTTTCTCTTCTCTTACTGCTGACGGCCGGCGAACTACCATTGTCGAGTCCTTTTCGGTCGCTCCGGACAACAAGAGGAGAGGCTTCGATCGATCGCTACAAACAAGAGGATGCTCTGTTAACTCCAGCCCTATCACCAGCCTGAACATCGTCGAGTCATTGAATGGCAACAACCGGAGGAGGAGGCTATACGACACACGACAACACACAAGAGAGTGGATCCTCCTACCGGATTCATCCCTTCTTGTTATTTCCTACTGTTTTGGTGGTGATTCCTGTGTCGGTACCCATTTTCCTGTATGCGCAAGTCAAGTACTGTTGCCACTAGCTATACTACTATACGGCAGCCGGCTACAATGGCTGGATTGACAATATTCGGTTGTGTGTGTATTCGTCATAAAGATCCAATGCGAGGTAACCGAGTGCAGCGAGCAAAGTCGAACCTGAGTGTGTTCGGTACTGTTGCCACTGTCACCGATCGATGAACTCTACGATAGCTGGCTACGATGGCTGGATTGACAATTTTCGGTTGTGTATGTATTCGTCATAAGGATCCAATGCGAGAAGGTAGTGGTAATGGAGTGTAGCCATTAAAGCGGAACCTGATTGTGTTCTGTACTGTTGCCGATGTAAATATACGGTGTGTAGCCGACTACGTTTGCTGGATTGACAATCTTATTCGTCATAAGGATCCTAATGCAAAGATAACCAGCAACCGGATTAGCCTGCAAAACGATAACCTGAGTTGGTCGGTACTGATGAACACTGTCCTCGATGTAATGTAAGAAGCGGTAGCCGACTACATGTGTCTGGATTAACAATAGTCCGGTTGCGCAGGTATTCGTCATAGGATCCAATGCATGGTACCAGTAATCAGTCGCAATACAGCAGGCTGAAGGTCGCGCTCCGTTCCAGACTTAGGCGGCTGAGATACCATGCTATGGAAGAGTAGCTCGAGAGCGTAATTCAGCTACACACTGGCTAACGATTCTGGATACAAAGACATTAGCGTACGCAGATGGAGGAATGCCGTTTACTGCAATCTGGCAAAAGGCATTCCAACGTATTACACGGCGAAGCTATTTGGCCTGCCACGCAGCCAAGAATTGCAGTTCAACTGCATAATCGTCATGACTAGAGCTCTGCAAGTCATCTCTGAGGAGATATTATGTGGTGTAGTTGATCCCAATTAAAAGGAGCGGAAACCCGATGTGCGTACGTCTAGCATGGCGAGCCAACGACAGACACTTCTGCGGCACAACGTGGGACCATCCGGACTGGTACTTGATCGCTGCTCGCATCACTGGATGATGCTCCAGATCCATTGATGATTTGGACATTGAAGGTGTAATTGGCGCTGTTAGCATCTGCTGGACAAGTGCTGGCCGAAGTATTATTTGCTAGGTGGATAGGCATCACGTCACGAGAATTGCATTCCAGAGATTTCGCAACATATCATCACCCTTGTAGCCTGTAAGTCGCACCTGAGCAGTGACGGAGTGCCATAAGTTATGTGGGTTTGAGTTCGAAGCGCCGCAACTTAGCCTCCGCGAATATGAGTCTCTGTGTGTGAATACACTAGGCATTCCTTCAATGAAATCATCGGGCGGAGCGAATTTCTAAGCGATAAGAGCGAGGCTGAAAAAGATAGGTAAGACGAGGTTCGATCCCACAAGATAGCATCACATCGCTAAAAGCGTAGTGTAAAGAATATTCTCTTTCGCAGCTGTGTTTGAGTAAGTTTTGAGCGCGAACGGACATGAAAGTACTTGAAATTTAAAGGCAGACCAACCCACCTTCCTTTTGGGATTCGGGAGGATAAGGATGGCAAACCGGCAACCTACGCTATCACACTCTACAGTCTCACCACACGAGGTTCAACTACGGATCCTATTGTTTGAATCTCCTCGTGGATAGTTTTCAAGGGCTTTCTAAAATCTCTCTCATAATTTTTATTCTCTCAAACTCAAATTACTCGAAAGATCTTTACAACAGCTTTTAGCGTAGTGCTTTTTTTTAACAAACACAATATCTTCCAGCTACCCTCAACCTATTCCTCGCCATGAAGATTGCCAAAGATGCATACACCAGCTTCGAGTCTAAGCTGCGCGACAAACCAATCCTTGCTCTCATCGACCTCGACGAAGAATGCGAAATCGACGATCTCGCTCTACCACCTACAAACTCGCACTGTTCCAGCAGATGCTAACAGCGCCAATTACACCTTCAAGGTCCAATTCATCAATGGATCTGAGATTCCACGTCAGACCATCAATGGGCTACGAATATGGAGAAAGTCTTCGTCGGGCTCGCCATTGCACGCCACCGACAAACAATACACCTCCTCCAAAGAGATGAACTCCAACCTGGGCAAATAAGCAACGAAATCTAGCTGCAAAGGCCACCGGAAATACGTGAATCCTACCTCAGATTGCAGTCAACGCATTCCCCACGCACGTATGTTGAATACCGAAGCCACTTCCCAACATTTCCAGCCGCCTGAAACGAAGCAAGCTCAAA